GGAACCTTTTTCACACAGACAAATTAGCAAACACGTAGCAGGCATAAACAAATGACAACAAACAACTCATAAAACACAAATCTTTCAACAACCCATTACATTTTTAAGTATTCTGAATTCAAGTAACACATTATAGCTTAAATTTGTCAAATCAATTGGATTAAAAAGCTTCAATTATGGTATAATTAACAAGTTTAGAGAAAGAAATAATACCTGGTATAAAATCAGAAATCAGAGCAAAATTTTGAAGTTGAGAGAAAGAGTAAGGGGACTTGGGTTGGAGTTTGGGTGATTTGAGTAGGGAAATCACATAAATTTCAAAGGTTTTAAGCTTAATTATCTGTAAAAATCGAGTATCTAAGAATATTGCAGGATATTCCTCATATCTTATTTCTTTTCTGGTAAATAACGAGCATTTGGAACCTTTTTCACTTCATAACAACATCCTACGTAATTCCACAATTTCAACCACAAATGTTTACCATTTAGCAGCACAAACTACATAAAAAACGAGCATTTGGAACCTTCATAATATGAATTCAGTCCCCTTCGCCATATGTAGCCCCTAGAAAACAGCCTTGGCTTCCCCCACCCCCGATTACCACTTTTCTAAGCTCTGAAACGCAGCACACAAAAGGATCTCCCCTGAACTTCCTCTACATGCCGCACCCAGCCAGAACATCTTTAGAACATACGACACCTAAATTTAGAACATACGACACTTAAATTTAGAACATGATCATGAATAATCGAACATGTAATTTTAGAACATTAATACGAAGTATAATAATGCTAATCAATTAACCTAAGTATACCTATGTTCTAAAGTTTTTTTTTTTTTCTTATGTTCTAAATATTCTTTTACCTATGTTCTAAATTTGTTTTTTCCTATGTTCTAAATTTAGTCTACTTATGTTCTAAAGTTTTTTTTTTCCTATGTTCAAAATTTAGTCTACTTATTTTCTGCTCATATAACTTAGTGCTAATTTAATTTGTTTTATTGGATTTTTTTTTTAAAAAAAAACATTTGAAGTTTTTTTTTAGTTATTTATAAAGATAACCTATGAAGGAATTGAACCTACATCCTCTATGCATTTGCATAATGCTCTTCCAATTGAGCTAATAGGTTTTATCATATGTTCTAAATATTATTTGCATATGTTCTAAAATTTATTGCTTAAGCTCTAAATTTTTCAATCTAAGCTCTAAATATATGTATGTTCTAAACTATTTTCCTATGTTCTACATTTTATTGTTTATGTTCTAAAGTTTTCTGTCCATGTTCTAAATATATATCTTATATTCAAATTTTTTTGTCTATGTTCTAAATTTATTTCGTATGTTCTAAATTTTTTTCATATGCTCTAAATTTTTTCTGTATGCTCTAAATTTTATCCTATGTTCAAAAATTTTTCTACCTATTTTCTATTTTTTTTTCCGTACGTTCTAAATTTTTTCTATCTATGTTCTAAACTTTATCATATGTTCTAAATTTTTACCTTATGTTCTAATTTTTTTCACCGTATGTTCTAAATTTTTAGTATATGTTCTAAACTTATTTTCTATGCTCTTTTTTTTCCCAATATTCTAAATTTCCAATTTTTTTTTCCTATGATCTTTTTTTTTTCCCCAATGTTCTATATTCCTATGTTCTAAATTTTTTACTATGTTGCAAATCATTTTCTTATGTTCCAAATTTTTCCTATGTTCTAAAGTTGTTCGTATATTCTACACCTATGTTCTAAAGTTTTTTCTACCTATGTTCTAAAGTTTTTTTTTTTTCCTATGTTCTAAATATTCTTTTACCTATGTTCTAAATTGTTTTGCCTATATTCTAAATTTAGTCTACTTATGTTCTAAAGTTGTTTTTCTTTTCTATGTTCTAAATTTTTACTAACTATGTTCTAAAGTTTTATTAGTAACAATGTCAATAATTTGTGCAAAATTTGGGATAGTAGAATGTAACGAGTAAGTAACGGCACTCAATGTAGGAATTAGGTGTATTTGAATCAAAGGTTAGCCGTGAATTAACCTTTCCCTAATATGAGACAATGCTCCAATCGTGTCATTACCGTTACATAATCTAGGTTTAGTTAAGCATAACTAAACATGCCGCTCCTGAATGAGCATAATCCCTGCAACACACAACTGAAAGTTTAATTGACAGTTCATTGTGTTTACTGACCCAAGACGGGAAGTCATCACCTTAACCATTGGAATTCCAATAAGAGGCTCAGACTTTCGAATGCACCAGCTTATTGTCCTACCAAAACAAGACAGTTGAATGCGAAGAATATCGACAACACAAAAATGAAGGCTAAAGCAGTCCCATAATATAGAATGAACTATACTCTTTATTATTGCCAGAAATGGGGAACAAAAGAAAAGGCCAAAGATAAAATAACAAATAGAAACCAAAACACCAACGCCTAGAAACTGCCAAAAAAAACCCGAACAAAAAACAGGAAACAGCAATAACAGCAAGCAGAAACAGCAGCAGCAAGTGGAACCAGCAGCACCAACCTACAACAGCAGCAGCAACCAGAAACAGACCTCAGCAGACCAGCTGCACCACCAAACGGACAACAGCAACAACCCGAGCCCAGAAGGCCAGCTGCAGCACCAGACAGCAACATAGCACAAAGAAACAGCAGCTAGCAGGAGACTAGGCTGCTAACACCAAGAACAACACCAGCAGCACCAGGAAACAGCTAGCAACACACAGCAAGGCAGGCATCACAGCCTGAACCAGCACCACAAACAGCAGCCCGAAACAGAGAAAGCCAGCCTGCACACCAAGCAACAGCTGCACATAACAGCACAAAGCAGGAAAGCTGGAGCAGGACACAGATAGGAGCAAGAAACAGAAAAGAGCAAACCCAGCTAGGCAACAACAGTCAACACCAAATCATTATAGTTCACAAAAGAGAAGAGGACCAGTCTAGACCAGAATGGAAGAGCACCACATGTAGCTTCAAAACTTCCCATAAAACAAAATGGAGAATAACCAGAAGTGTTGAACGAATAATGCTGGTTACTTCATATATTTCCACAATGATCAACACCATGTTCTAAAAGAGTTTAGAACATGCTTAAAAAGAGTTTAGAACATGCTAAGCTATGTCAGTTGCTTGCGTATCTTAAAAGTGTATTTTAGATCATAACATTGACATTCTATAAACATATCGACATGAACAACGTAGAAAGATCAACACCATGTTCTAAATTATTTCAACCTATGTTCTAATTTTTTTCTATGTTCCAAATTTTTTCTACCTATGTTCTAAAGTTTATTTTCAGCCCTGCAATCACAAGTTCACAACCAACAACCCCTAACCAATTAGCTGCTGTTGCATAAATCAACCACCACACCACAACCCCTACAAGCAGGGGCAATCGCACCAACATCACCAATTTCGAAATCAAAATTCGAAAAAATCAGCAAAAATTGAACCCTAAATTCGAACTATAGATCCGCAAAAATAAGAAAAAATAGAACATAGAGAATAAGCCAGATTTGTTTTTAGACATGACGAATTGATGCAAGCAGAACAAGTAATGCCAAGTTGTTCAAGCTATGCTTGCTCATTAATCGAGTTTAAAAGTTTTGTTTAGCCTGAATTGTTTACTTAACAAACAATTTTTAACAGAACTTATTCTTATTCTTGAGTGTATCGGGGTAGGCATTATACACAAGTAGTTGTTACACCATAATTTGGATGACTACTGCTATGAACTGAACTAATGACCAACAAAAAAAGGAAAAAAATAAATGCTTTTCAATTTTAATAACACGAGTTTAATTACCCAAAACCTGATATATTTAATCAATGAATCAAAATTGATACAGAACATTACAGCAATGATTCAATGAATATAAGCAGGGAAAAATGGCTGCAAAGCCACTAATATAATCATTGTGCTATACAAGCGGTTTGTTGTGTGTTGAATCCTAAATCCTAAATTCGAATACCCTAAATTAGAATCCTAAATCCGCAAAAAAAGAACCCTAAATTCGAACGCGAAATTTGAAAAAATCGAACTCAAAAAAATCAAACTCCATGCGAAATTCATTAAAATCAAAACAGAAAAACGCAAATATCAAATCACAAAATCGCAAAATCAAATCAAAAAATCGGAAACATAAAATCGCAAAAATCAAATCAAAAAATCGCAAAATCTATGAACATCATGCTAAGTTCATGGAAATTTGAACAAAATCGAAAAAAAAAACAAACCTGAGTCGAAAATCCTTCAAATTGCAATTTCTATGGAGATTTTTGGGGTTTGCAGAGAGAGAATGTGATGAACACGAAGAGAGAGAAAGTTAGAGGAGAGAGAAAATTTTGATCGGTTGGTAGAGGGTATAAGGAAAAATACGTGTTTTAATCTTAACCGTCTAAATTACCTTAATCCTACGGCTGAGATTGGTTCTTATATAACTAGGGTTCTTATATAAGGAGGGGTTCTTACCGGATCCCTCCCCTATATATATATATATATATATATATAATTGTAAGACTCAATGTGGACAAAAAATTAATTATGTGACTTTATTTTGGAACTCCCCAGTCTACGCTAAGTAATACTAATGAGGTCGAAAACTATTAACCATAAATCCATGATCGAATTAAATGGATCATGTTTAGCCTTTTTCTTCAGTTTGTTATCGTCATATTTATATCACATTCCACAATTTTGTCATATGCTAATCCGAATGGGAAAACAAAAAAAGTCAATAGGTGTAGTTAGTGGACTGATAGACATTACTTTTTTTTATAATTTATTTTGGTAAAGACTGATATAGACGTTAAAACAATTGAACTATCTTAGTCCATATGTTTTCCCTAAATCATCAGTTTACACAATATTTTCCCAATTTCCCTATATTTAATACCACTCTGTACTTGTTACTCCCTTCGTTTTCAAATACTTGCTCCACTTTTCATTTTCTGTCGTTTTTAAAATACTTGCTATATTTCCTTATTTGAAAAGCTTTTACAATATTTAATTCAATTCTATCAACTAGTGGACCAAACCTAAATCTTTTATATTAATTTCATATTTTCTCTTCTCCAATTCTCCTAACTACTTTTACTTTTTACATTTTTTAATTCTTCCACCTACCCCACTACCTCCATATTTTAGTACTTTCATCAACTTCTCCTAAATCTCCACGTATAGAGAAATATAACAAGTATTTAAAAATGGATGGAGTATCAGTTATGCCTTATAAATCTGTGTATTCATATTTTATACTCATATGCTTTTATGGAAACACTCAATGAACAATCTGTGTGAAAAGGATAATAAAGGTTATGATGCTTTAAAATTTATAAAAATAATTGACGAGCCCCACCTAAAATAAAGTTTTATCTAGAAATAGAGGGAGTTTATCGTCACAAACTTTAATTATTCCGTGTATATTATCAATATTCTATTACCTCGAAAATTTTCAAATTAATGGTCACACTGAAGGAAAATTTTAATCCTAAGAGGACCATATAATATTACAATCATTATCACTATCAACTTTAAGGCTATGACGTATAACACCTAACCCAACCTTATATGAGTTATTGTATCATTTCAACTTGCAACTGTACATACTATATTTATTCGAATACACAATTTTGTTCATATTTTCCCACTATTATCTTATTCATTCTAATATGTATATGAAGAGGCAACTTTTTGTTTCGACCTTAATATTGGGTGTTCTATACCAACTTTTAAGTAGTGTTTATGCGGTGGTTGTCTTTGAGTATAATTGGTGTTCTCCCAATTATGGTAATTACACCCAAGGAAGTGTCTACCATCAAAACCTTAATCATCTTTTTTCAAACCTCTCATCTCAAACTTTGTCTCGTCGATTTTATAACACCACTAGTGGCGATTATCCTAACAAAGTGTATGGAATCTATCAATGTCGAGAAGATTTTACCCTAGAGGTATGCAACCAGTGTATCGATGATGCAACACAAAAAATTACAGAAATGTGCCCTTTATATGTCGAAAGTATAGTGTGGTACGATGAATGTATGTTACGGTATGCAAACCGTTCCATATTCTCTTTGAGCGAGACATCTCCATCTTCTGATGCATGGTATACGGATACTGTCCCTAACTACGAGGAATTTGTCCCGGTGATAGAGAAGACGACGAAGGCCATTATTAGTCAAGCTGCTCGTACTACTGCTCGAGGACATTTTGCTAGCACATATGCCAATTATACGTCGATCCATAGAGTGTACAACTTTGCTATGTGCACCCCCGATATAGATGAGGTCGAATGTAAGAATTGCTTATTGATTGCTTCAAAAAAGTTATCTACATATTATAACGAAAGTAAGGGGGTGACGAGCTTCTTACCTAGCTGTCAATTAGGCTATGATACCGCGATTAATCAGATGACGCATGTACCACTGACTCCAGACCAAGCTCAAGCTCCCGGTCAACCTCCAAGTCCGGCTCCAAGTAAGGCTCTATAAGATTGATCTATGTTTTTTTTTCAAGTTTTTTGAGAACTGTATTGTAAGAGTTGGTAAATATTTTTTTTTACGTCTTTTTGCAACCATGTGGGGTAGGAAACTAAAGTAGAGAGATAGTGTTTGGGTAGTTTTTTTTTATGAAAATGAAATTATACAGCTTTTTATGGACCCATTGGAGAAAAAATTAGTTAGGTAATCTTTTAGACAAGAAGGGAATATCAACAATAATGAGGCGTGATGGGTCGCTATCAATATGGTCAATACTAAGAGATGAAAATAATATAAAAATCAATAATAACAGAATAAAAATTAATAATAACATTATAATTAAAAAAATACGCTCTTTTCTCTTTCCCTCTTTCTTAATCGAAAATCTTGCTAAAATATAATAATAACAATATAGAATAAGAATAATAGTATAAAATAAAAAATGACAGTATATTTATTAATGATAACCATATAAATAAAAATAAAAATAAAGTACAGTACTTATTATGGAGGGTCTATACTTACTCAACAATAGTTGATAAAGAGAGGGGGCCGGGGGGTTATGACTATGGGGCGATATACATATAGTTGTAAATAGAAAATATTTAAGAGGCGTAAATGCAATGGTCCCTCTAAAAATAAGTTTGAACGAGTCCAACTACTTGTTATTGACCCACATATCTTATCTTTTGAATAGTCCACAGTAAGAAGTGATCGGGTAGCTAGAGAAATAACTTTATAGGAGATAAAGATTATCCCATCTGAACCCGACTTGTTAAGATCTTGAACAAAATTATGCTGACCCGACTTTACCGGACTAACCAAACTCAAACCTAGATGAGACATGACGACAATCATAGCACCAGGTAACATACTTAGGTTGACAATTTTAATTTGGCTATGTTTGTTTGACAATGAACAACTTTGATATTTTTAACACAAAATTACTAATATTATTAAAAGTTGATATTTTGAACTTATTAAATCAAACAAATTTAATAAGATTATTTTTTTTTATTCGGTAAATAATTAATTATTGATTTTCAATATGATGTATGTACATGGTGTGTCAAAAGTCAATATTGCTTCACATACCTCAAAATGCACCACAAGTCTATCTACTAATAGCATACTAGCTAGTACGTCAACACGGCTGAAAATAAATAGATCCTGTCAAGAATGACATCATGGTTGGCGAGAATTAGCCAAAAATCTTGTTTGTTTACACTTTGCTTTTGCAACTTTTTGGTGTCGATGCAGCGGTTACCTTCGAAGTTTACGAGTGTTCTTCAACAAATGGTAATTACACCAACGGAAGTGCCTACCAACATAATCTCAATCGCCTTTTTTCGAGTCTATCCACCAAGACATTTACTCGGAGGTTTTACAACACCACTACCGGCAATTTTCCAAGCAAAGTGTATGCAATCTATCAATGTCGAGAGGATCTAGGCTTAGACATTTGTAGTGAGTGTACCAAAGAAGCAACAAAAAAAATTACGCAATTATGTCCATTTTATAGTGAAGCTATTGTATGGTACGACGAATGTATGTTAAGGTATGCAAACCGTTCTATTTTCTCCTTGAGCGAGACAAATCCATCAAGGGCGTCATGGTACGATGGTATAGTCTCGAACTATGACAAGTTTGGTCCATTAGTGGAAAAAACAATGAATAACATGGTAACTGAAGCTTCTAGTGTCACTTCTCGAGGACATTTTGCTAACACATACGCCGATTGGACATTGATCGATAGGATGTACTGCTTCGCTATGTGCACTCGCGATATAGATGAGTTTGGTTGTAAGAACTGCTTGAGTACTGGTATATCAGAAATATCTGGATATTATAACATAAGTAAAGGGGTGACAGTGTTCTATCCAAGCTGTCAATTAGGTTATGATACGAAACTCGATCAAATGAAACATGTACCACTTGTACTAGCTCCAGCTCCAGCTCCTGCTCAAGCTCAAGACCAAATTCAAGGTTAGACCTTTAACGAATATATATTGCAAGTAGATTTTGCTTAAATTGACTTGAGGAAAATTTTCTTATGATGCAATATTTTTTGTATAGAAAGGCGGAAAAGATCATCATCTCATATTGTTGTAGCAATTAGTGTTCCATTAATTCTAGTAGTCTTGCTTCTCTCAAGTGCCGGTTTTTGTGTCTACCGTCACAAACGCAAAAAATCCTTCTCCAGGTAATTGTAAGTCTTTGTCGACGATCTTCTATAGTCATCACCGAAACAAATCCAACAAGATCTCAAGTACGTGTCTTTAATTTGCCACAGATGAAGAGATTGTTGGTGTAGAGTCATTGCAATTCAATTTCAAGACAATAAGAGATGCAACAGATAACTTTTCCGAGCATAATAAACTTGGCCAAGGTGGATTTGGTAGCGTTTACAAGGTACATTCTTCTTCACAACTAGTCCCTTCGATCAATATATATCCCTCCTCAAAGTTTTGATTCACCGAAAATAGTGTAACGAAGGTAAATTATCATACTTGTACTTTATAATATACTTTTTATCTCAAGTTGGTAACTAATATACTATAATTTATTATTTGTTCATAAATTTTTTGATTAAAGTGATAAATTCATGTTTATTTTTATGTATCTACTTTCATAGGGAAAGCTTCGAGATGGACAAGAAATCGCTGTGAAAAGGTTGTCAACATGCTCAGGGCAAGGCAGTACAGAGTTTAAAACGGAGATTCTTTTAGCAGCAAAACTCCAACATAATAATTTAGTTAAACTCTTGGGGTTTTGTTTACATGGAGAAGAAAAGTTACTTGTGTATGAATTACTGCCTAATGCAAGTCTCGACAAAGTACTATTCGGTATATGATCTCTAAATATTCATCATCCCTTCTTTTTAATCTAATTTTCTAGTAAAATAAACATTGAATTATCATTAATGCACCATCGAAAATTTTGCAGGCCAAAACGAGCATCCATCACTAGATTGGGAAATCCGCTTCAAGATCTTACTTGGGACTGCTCGGGGACTCTTATACCTTCATGAAGATTCGAGGTTGAAGATTATACATCGTGACCTAAAACCAAGCAATATTCTCTTAGACGAATATATGAACCCAAAGATATCAGATTTTGGATTGGCAAGACTTGTTGGAAGGGAACAAATGCATGTTGATACGAGTAAAGTTGCTGGAACATAGTAAGTACTTGACACATTCAATTCAATTATTTTTGTCCCTTCAAATTTTCGGCTTCAATTTTATAAGCGTAACACATATACTTGTAACAAATTGTCTCTTGTAACTCGATCTAATTGAAGTTTCTTATTGGCCTGGTGACTCTCTATACGACTACAGTGGATATATGGCTCCGGAGTATGCCTTGACAGGGCGTTTCTCACTTATGTCAGATGTCTATAGTTTTGGAGTAATAGCTTTGGAGGTAGTAAGTGGTCACATGTGTAGTTCAACCGTCTTCCCTTATCATGAAGACAGTCTATTAATACGAGTAAGTTATTACAAGACAAAAGTGTTAGTCTATTTCTAATTTAATTTGGATATATTTTTGCCTCTTAATATTCAAATTTATACCAATTCTGTGATTTGTTGTAGGCTTGGAAACTATGGAAAGAAAACGCAATTTTAGACTTGGTGGATCCTAGACTTAATACCAACTATCCAACCGATGAAATGACTAGACACATTCACCTTGGTTTACTTTGTATACAAGAAGATGCAAACAAGAGACCGACAATGGCTACGATTGTCTCGGTTCTCAAGGGCCACAAAGTGGCTCTTTCTGAACCCGAACCACCCTTGATCGGTCTATCAACAAACGTTACATTTGGGTTGAAAAAAAATGTGGGTACATCATCTTCCAACGAGTTTCATTCAAATATCGACGACATAACAGAAGTTTATCCTCGATAGCGCAAGGTACACCACCAAAAAAAGGCTAGAATCATAATTATCATATTTATATTCAGGTTGTTACATGATGATATTAAACATCACACACATCAACTTATAAAAATCTTCATCTTGCTCGAATACTTTTTTTTTTTCTTTGAAGAAATCTTCTTTCTCGAAACCTTATCAAAGCTTAAATTTAGTCTAGCAAATCATTGAAACAATAACTTAGACATCTCATCTATATGCATTCATCTTGGGTCAACCCCAGACATAGTTACATTATTTACAGACCCGCTAGACTTGCTGTCTACAACGTTTATTTCTCTTATGTTTCTAAAAACGAAAACCGGCTCTTGTGGCATTGGAAGTGTGTATGCATTACTATGTAACACGAGAACTGGTAATTCCATTGTAGGTCTAACATCCATCGACTCTTGAACGCAAAGCAAGCCAACGTGCATGCATCTCAAAACTTCGTCACTTGAGCATGAGTCTCTTATTATTGGATCCACAAATTCCAAAGGATTTCCTTCCCTCCATTTTATCCATGCCTACATATATATTTTAATACTTGTTTATATCCTTTCATATTAATTTTTGGTATGGAAAATGGAGAATAAATAACATGTTATTTTAAAGGAGAACTTACATGGCTTATAAGGTCATCAGCGTCACCCAAATCATCGAAGCAACTATTTCTTCTTTTTCCAGTGATGATTTCTAAAACAAGTACGCCAAAGCTATAGACATCTGATTTGTCGGAGAATTGGCCTTGCATTGCATACTCTGGAGACATGTAACCGCTGCAAGAAAATGTTGTACACATAAATATATGTATATTCATCAATAATATATGAATATGTACATCTTTTGGTCCTATTTCTATTCAATTACAAATGATTTTGAAATTTGAAATTCTACTTACTAAGTTCCGACAATCCTATTTGTATTCCCTTGGCTTTGATCCACATCGAAAATCCTTGCCAAGCCAAAGTCTGAAATTTTGGGGTTCAGTTCTTCATCAAGCAAAACGTTGCTTGCTTTGAGATCACGATGGATTATTTTAAGCCGAGAATCTTGGTGGAGATAAAGCATCCCTCGAGCAATCCCCCCTATAATATTGTATCGCGTTCCCCAATCTAACAACCCTTGTCTTTCCGTATCTGCGGATCATAATAAGTTACAATATAAAGGTTAAAATAGCTTTAATATCTTAGAAAGAGACTTAAAAAGATTCTATCATGAGAAATCTATCATACCAAATAAAAAATAGTCTAGGCTTTTATTGGCAACGTATTCGTACACTAGAATCATCTCCTCTCCAGTTAAACAAAACCCTAATAGTCTAACCAAGTTTCTATGCTGAAGTTTTGCTACCAACAACACCTCATTCTTGAACTCTTCTTCCCCTTGGTAAGAACCTTTGGACAACCTCTTCACTGCTATTTCTTGTCCATCTGGCATTATACCCTAAGATAAAAAATTAAAAATATATTAAAATAAAAATTAAATCAACTAACAAATTTTACAGTTTTACAAGTCTATTGTGTAACCCCAAAAAAAGAAAAAAAAAACACGTTATTTTATGTTCTACTTGATTGCTAAACATTTTTTGAAAATTTTTATAATTGTAAGAGGATGTAAGATATTAATCAGAAAAATGATAAAGTAAGAGCGAGAGGGTTTAAAAAGATGGAATGAATATGCAAGTAATTTTTGTGTCCTTTAGGTCTGTACTGTTTGTTTGTGTTGCTGAGCTATTAATATATTTTTTTACCTTTTCCAAAAAAAAGAATATGCAAGTAATGTAAGCAAAAGGTGTAACTAACTAATTATAAATTTATAATGGAGTAATAAGGGTGCAATGGTATAGAGTTTACACAAAATAGAAAAAAGTAAATGTATATATATAGAAGATCAAAGAACAAAAAATCTAAGAATGGATGGAGTACCACTCAATATTGCCTCAAAATGACTCTTTAACTCAATTAAAATTGAGTTCAAATTATATTGTAATACCTTATAGACGCCTCCAAATCCACCTTCGCCGACTTTATTCTCATCTGAAAAATTATTAGTTGCCAATTGAAGTGTAGCCACATCATATTGCAAGGACTCAATCATTGCAAAATCCTGACTTGCTGTATCATATCATTAAAGTGATCACCATAAGATTTATGAGTTATGTAACAATATAATGCAACAATATAATTTAAAGAACTGATCTTAGAGAGTATGCAACAATATAATGCGCGATCTTCTTACCACTTCTAGCGTGCAATGTGTTATACTTCTTAGCTTTCTTAATCTTATAACATATTCCTAGGGCAAGAATTACAGCTGATATAACAACCACTGGAATCACAATGGCAATGATCACCTTTGCTGTGTTTTTTCTTTTTCCTGCATTTTTGTAGTTGTTCTTTTGTTAACATCATAATAATCTCATTGGGACTTATCTCATGAAAGAATGGGAAGAAAAGACAATTATACTCAATGTACCATATTAGGATACTCTAGATAAATTACAAGAAAAAAAATCATAATTCTATAATTTCATAATAGAAACAGATCAATAAGAAATTAAGAATGTTACTAATACGCACTTGAAAACTATTCTACAAAGAAAAAAAGGCCATATATTCCAACAAAAAAAAAAGTTGATATAAATACAGTAGTATAATAATGCAAGTACAGCCCGTTTTGTGTGTGACCACTTATAAAAGAACAAAGTAACCCTTATAATACTGACCAATTAATCATTGTAATACTAACCGAGTAATCCCTATTACATTAACGAAGTAACCCTTATAATTAATGACTGGTCACACCCGCATATAAGAATTTGTGATGAAAGTATGAGAATCAAACGAGATTAAGTGACAACTAAGACTATCATTGTAAATTAATATTAGGATTGATCATCTTACAGTAAGATGAGATACGGTCAATGATTTTTTTAAGCAACTACCTTATAATATACATATATAACATGTACATAATAATGTTATTCTTGTTTAACCTATTTTTTATTTTTAGTACGATGTTTGTAAAGACTTATACTTGCTTTGACAGAACTTAATTTATATTAACATGGTCCTCACGTCAAAGAAAATAAAACTTGTATGTTAAACGCAAAACATGAAGTAAATATATAATTTCTGCAAGAAATATAAATTACTTGTACATACATAAGATCTGTTCCATAAGACATACCTTCATGAATTGTTGTTGCTGTTTCATTCATAACAGTAAGATCAAATCGAACATTACAACTAGGTAGCAACACCCATGTACCGATCCTCGTCTGGAGCTGACTAATTCCGTTACTCAAGCACTGGTTACAATCATCGGAAGTCAAGTCCGGTGTACACTGAGCCATCGCGTAATACTTTAAGGAACTTGTAACATCACCGGTCTTATTACCATACTTCATGGAGCTATTCGAGACTAGGGGTGCTAAATCATTCATGGTTTTATTCCGTTCATCTAAAAATGCTTGGATTCCATTACTAGGAATCGTTGGAACATCGTTATATCCCACAATTCTATGAGTAACATCGAGTTTCTGATAGATTGACACGTTAGAAAAACGAATTGTACAATTTTCACTCCATAGAACGGCCCAATTTTGGGTTGGACACTCTTTGAGGATATTCAAATGTGATTCATTAACACATCGGCTACAATATTGACTATCAGTGTTACCTCGACATAGGTAGAGGCCATAGACTCGATTGGGAGCTTGGCCAAACGTCGAGTAGTAGAATCGTGATTCGGACTGCGCTGCTTGGGAGGTTAAGTTGTTTAAGAGATTGTTGAGGTTTGTTTGATAAGGGCTATTTATGATGTAATTTGAACTTCCCGTGCAATTTGTATAGTAGTAAAAATAAGCTTGTGTACTTGGAATAACAAAATGAATAGCTAATAACAATGTAAAGGATATTATTATCGAGGCCATAGTATTTGCGCAAAAAGGCAAGACAAAATAGATGATGATAATTGATTGGACTATTTTGTAAAATATACGAAATATTGTAAGTAATGGAAGAAAACAAAAAATGTACTACGTATATATATTATAGAAAAATTCCATTGCATTATTAGGGTTGCCAAGGTTGACTTTTTCCACAATAACGACTTACTCTCCATAATAGGGTATAAGTATAGCACTATATATAGTTGACATTTTTAATTTGCTAACCAACTTTGATTGTTAATGTTATGTATAAGTTAAATGAATCTTAGGAAACTAATTTTTAAGCTTGCTAGATATTATTAATTTATACTCTCTATGTCCCCATATAATTTGAAAAGTCTCATTTCATCCGTTTACATTTCCTTATTAGTTATAGATAGAATATTACTTAACAATAATTTGTTTCTATAATTGAATATCCCTATTTTTCATCTATAATTTTTTTTTTTGATGTTTAGGGAGCCAGATAGACAAATAATATTTAAAAATTATTTATCGTCAAACTAGATGGAACCTCTCTCTTCATAGTGGACTTAATCTAAATTTTAATTTGGACAAAGTCATCTGTTGTTTAATAATTCGATTCCTCTTTCCTTCTTAATCTTCTCATCAATAATGTAGGGCATTGTCTACCTTGTTCCATTGATCTTTAGCAACAATATAAGAACTAAACTAATAGAATAATATCAATAATTCTACTTTTAAATATCATTTTAAATTAGTTAACTACACTGTCCTAATTTTAACGTATAACCAATTATTACTGGTCCCACCAAAACATGATTCCTAGTATAATCTTACACCGAGTACACCCCATTGTGCCAACTGGCCTAGTAGATCATATAAATCCATTTTTATAACATTAAAATAGTCTTTCAGGTATGTAGAATGTAAAAGCATATTCTCTCTCCATTAAATATATTAGTCTCATTTAGTTAGTGGACAATTTTAATAAGTTGATTAAAATTGGGTTTAGCATCGTATTGATGCCATAATGGGCTTCCATAGTTAGTAATATTGTCTTTTAGGAGAAAGATTTGTAAAGTAAAATCCCTAAAAGGAATGAAAATGGAAAATAAGTAGTAAAATATTATCAAAACACAACTTAAAACTATAGGAAGAAGCAGTTTGTAATGCAATGGATGATACAAGCAACTAATTGATCTTTGACAGATCGAACAAACGAACATTTGGGCATACTTGCTTCCAATTTGGGATTGGTTTATTCCAATGATTTCTTACCAAAATACAACAATTTTGAGCTCATGCATGCATGACTTATGCAAAACTTTCCTTTTTGTTGATAATATTTTATTTTTTGGTAGAAAGAGAACTAGATAGATTAAATAAGCAAAGCAGTCATACAGTTTACAGGACTCAGCCTAAGTACAGATAACACCACCATCAACTAAGGCGGGTTCAAAAGTGGTGTATTACCACCCAAATTACATAATTGGTTAGCACTAGAGATAAGTTTGCTGCCAATAAAAACATTACTGATATTACAATAGTTACTACTCAAAGCAGGGGGCAAAATAACCATACAAATGTTCAAAATATTATCAAACTTCCAGTCATCCTTGGTGGAAGGTGTTAGATGCAACATAGCTTGCTTGGCCACCACATTTGCTTCCTTGACTTGATCTCTGGGCCCCTTGGATAGCTTTCCCCTTGGTATCTTGCTTAGCAGGTCCCTACAAAACAGTAGATAATGGTTCTCCATTTCATCAAAGGCTTCGTACGTTTTGATGAGTAACTCCTTTAACTGCCCTTTGACAATCCGATATAATATGAACATCCTCCTAGCCTTCTTTAATGGCCCATGAAATAGCAGTAGAGATTGCCATTGTTTCAGCCATTAAGGCTGAGTTAGCCCAGGTGTGTAATGTGTTGAGCCTTTTGATTTTGATGGACAAATTGACAAACTCGACTAATGAATGTTTTGAGTCTTTGGTGAATAAAGGGTTCAAGCAAAGCTCGTTCCGGAGTAGGAACTTGGATGCGGAGTAGCATTCTTTAAAAAGCCTCGTGCAAATCTCACGTTCTAGTTTTAATTGTGAGCACTCAATAATATAAAGTCGGAAAGGAACTCAATGACTTATGTTAAAGACTACTGGAATAAAAGTTAGTTTTAAAAGATAATTTCTTAAAGAAAAGATAATTTGTAAAAGTTTTAATAAAGATAATTATCGAAGATAATTATCTAGTTGTTTTAATAAATAATAAATTTATCTTTTCAAATAAAATCTTTTTAAACAAACTTTTGATAATCTTTTAAATAAATATTTGATAAAGTTAGCAAGTGGTTTTTCTGTGAGAAAATCTTTTATATGGCTAATGGTTATCAAGTTGTTAGGATAGTGGTTTAATTAGATAAGGCTAGGAAACCTCTTCATGATCACAATCTGTCAAGATAACTCCACAAGTTGTTAGTGGGTTGTTGACATGTGGACGTGATTATGGTGGAGGTTAATGACTAAGCCTTCTCTATAAATACTCATGCAAACTATCTCAGAAAAACATAACTCTTGAGCATAAAAATTCCAGTAGCCATCTAATAACAAAAAGAGAGTTATTTTCCTTCATATATTCTTGAGTGCAATAGGTATTTGTAATCACAGATTGTATTCAAGTACTTAGGGGTTGGGATTGTGAGTTTGTAAAGTGAGGTCAAGGAAGCTTCGTTGCTGAAGTCTTCTGTGAGAGTTGGGAACAAGTTCCTAATTTGTGGAACTTGTTAACGGGTTTGAATCTTCACTTGTAAAGAGTTTGATTACTTAGTGGAAATTTAGAAAAGCCTATATCTTCTCTCGTCACTATTTCATTTAGTTAAATTCCACAAAAAGTTTTTAGATTTCACCTCAAATACAATTCACCCCCCCTCTTGTATTAGCCAGTTAGACTTTCAGTTGGTATCAGAGCAGGAACTCAGAACACGCAGGCAACCCTGTTGAGTAAGTTCCTGGAAAATGGCTTACACAGAGGAAAAGGAATTCGGGAGTACATCCATTCAAAGGCCTCCATACTTCAACGGCAAATTTTATCCTTATTGGAAGGATAAGATGGAAATCTTTATCCAAGCAGAGAATTATCAGGTATGGCGAATTATACAAGTAGGAGATTACGAAATTACGAAAACGAATGCTAATAATGAGGTAATCCCTAAACCTATGGATGAGTATGAAAAAACTGATTTTGAAAAACTTGAAATGAATGCTACTGCCAAAAAGTTTTTAATTTGGGGACTTGGACCCGATGAACATACTCGTGTCAAAGGGTGCAAGTCCGCAAAGGAAATTTGGGATCTTCTGGAAGTTACACATGAAGGAACGTCAGATGTTAAACGTTCCAAAATAGACATTCTTTTGTCTCAGTATGAGCGCTTTGAAATGGGAAACAAAGAATCCATTAAAGACATGTTTACTCGATTTAAAGGTATTACTAACGAACTAACGTGTCTTGGCAAGATAATTCCTATAGATGAGCAGGTCAGAAAAGTCTTAAGAAGTCTTCCAGACAATGACAGATGGAGAGCAAAGGTTGCAGCGGTGCAGGAATCAAAAGACTTCACCAAGTTCAATCTGGAACATCTTGCGGGTTCCCTCATTACTCACGAGATCCAGTCGAACAATCGGACTCAGGAGACTGTCAAAAGTCAAGGGCTAGCATTAAGAGCTAATGAAGAATCCGAAGAGAAGTCTGACATCGATGAAGAAGAAGCTGCAATGTTGGTGAGAAGGCTGAAAAAATTCTACCGTAACAACAAGTTTTTAGACAAGAAGAAAGGATACAGTAAAAGAAATCAGGAACCCAAAGCCAAGTCTTCTTGTCACAAATGTGGAAGCACCAACCACTTCATCAAAGAGTGTCCATTATGGGAATCTGAGAAAGGCAAGGGAAAAGAAGCTGATCAAAGCAGAAATTCCAAGCCTAACTTTTCTAAAACAAATTTCAGGAAAGCAATGATTTCCACGTGGGGAGAATCAAGTTCCGAAGAAGAGGAACAGGAACACACAGACGATGAAGTAGCCAATCTCTGTCTAATGGCAAAGCATGATGATGAGGTAGTCATTCAACCTAATTATTTGAAATCTCTCTCAAAGGATAAATTAATCTCTTTATTGTTAGAAACCTTAGATGAATATAAAGAATTATGTGCAAAACTAAGGCAAGCCGAAAAGGCAACTGGAATTTGTAGAGATCATGTTAAGTATCTGAATAGCTTAAGAAATGATGTTCAAGGCAGATTCTTTGAATTGTTAGATAAAAATATTATGCTAAAAGAATCCCTTGAAAGAGTCAAGAGTGAGAATATCATGCTGAATATTGAATTGACTCAATATAAAATGTTGTGTACTAACATTGATTCTTGCAGGTCTACTGAAGTTCCTTTAATCATGTTTAATAATGAACTAGAGCATGTTAAGAAAGAGATAAAGGAAACCAATGATAAAAATGAGAAACTAGAAAAGGACCTAGAAATTGCAAGAAAAAGTAAAAATACAGCAAGCACGGGTGTTCCCAAGTGGGTAAAGGAAGCTCAGACAAAAAGAACAGAAGGTCTAGGCTATGTTCATAAGAAGAAGTCCACTGGAAAGAAAAAGAAATATGTGAACTTACCTAGTGAGACCGTTTGTTCTTTCTGTGGTAAAAAGGAACATCGCAGTGAAGAATGTACTAAGAAAGCAAATCTGTACAATAAGAATGTGAATTATGTTTGGCAGAAGAAATCTGATTTAAATGTGTCAACACAGGAACCCATGAATGAAAGGGTTCCTACTACTAACTCTTAATTTCTTTTGCAGGTCGAAGTGAGGGGAACAACCAGTGGTACCTCGATAGCGGTTGTTCTAAGCACATGACAGGAGATGAATCCAGATTTCTCTCACTGACGGCCTATACAGGGGGAACAGTGACCTTTGGAGACAATAAGAAAGGCAACATTGTTGCTGTTGGCAAAGTAGGAAGGTCAAGTTCCCATGCAATTGACAATGTATTTTTAGTC